TTCAATTCTGTTTCTAAATGACGCACCCTTTAGCCTGTAACTTTGTATGGCTGCCGGTGGGGTCTTCACACATGCTTGGAGGTGTGGCCTCCTTTTTGTGCTATGGTGATGCATAATGACATGAGCACTGACAGCTGCTGTCCCTTTATGCGAAGCCTCAGAATGAACACATTGAGGGTGGCTCTAACCAAACCTACAACCTGTAGGTAAGCTCAGCCAATCCACAAACCGAAGCAGAGGTGCTTGATCAAGAAATCCTAAGTGACCTATAGACCTAGAATGAATCAAACTTCCTATTATAAGCTGCTCAATAAAAGTGGTTCATTATGTTGAGTTTTTATAGTAATAGTTGATCAATACAGCCAGTTATCTCATATCTAAGAAATTATCCTAAGGTGATCAGAGAGAAATACGGATTTACATAGAAGGGCACTTAGCACAGCAATATTTATAATAGAAAAAAAAAACTGTAAACAGTCCCAGTACTCTGAGAGGCTGAGGCAGAAAAATCTCAAGTTCAAGCCTACCCATAGTGATTCAAGCAACTGAGTGATTTAGCAAGACCCTGTCATCAAATCAATTACTTAATAAAGGCTGGGAAGGTGGCTCAGTGCAAAGGCCTTGGTTTCAATCTCCAGTACCACAATAAATAAATAAATAACCTATCATCAAATAACAGAAATAAAAAATGTAGTTTTAAAAAATAAGATATCATCAGACAAATATTTTAAGTTACTAAAAATCATACTCTCAAAGAATACTCAACATGTGTAAGATGTTTTTAATACATTAAGATACTCATGCAAAGCAAATGCATGGTTCTTTAAAGAATTACCTATAAGCAGAAAAAACAATGTTAGGTAAATCTCATTCATTTAAGAAATACAAGTGCTTTTTCTGTACTAAACACTATTCTATGTTAAACATTACACTAAATATACTAGGAATAAAGCAAATAAACATGTTTCCTGCTTTCTGAAAATAAATAACGAAGATATTTCAAAAATGGTGATCATATAGATATATAAATAGAAGTTGTGATCTGCTATGCAGGAGAAATTGCTATTTAGCCCTAGTAATTACTTCCCATTTATTACTCAATAACAGTCCCTGAATTTTGTCTGGCCAGCAATAAACTATACCTCCCAGCCTCCTTGCTCCTGGTTGAGTCCATGTGGCTAAATTCAGGTCAATGGGACCTAACTAAAAGTGTTGTATGAAACTCCAGTAAACATCCTTAAAAACGAAGGGACAGCTCGTCGTTGCATTTTCCCTTCTTACCAGATGGAGCTGCCATTTTGGACAATGACATGGAAGCTTCATGCTGAGAATGGCAGACCAATAGAATAGGAGGAGCATGGGTTCCCTGACAATGTGGAACCACTCACCAAACATAGGCTACCTATAGAGCTTTCAGCTGAGTGAAATAGCATTTCACTTAAATGGCCAGCTTTCAGTCACTCACAGCTGAATCTAATTCTTATGGCATAACTATGAAGGGAAAATGAAGAGTTCAATGAAAGACTATGACAGATTCTGACTGGACAAAAGGGGCTTCAGGGATGGCTCCCAGGATGGAACAAACTTAAGCTGTGAGGTGAAACCTACCAAGTGAAGGGAGGTAGGGTACCAAACTGTTTACAGGAAAAGCCAAAGATACAATTTTGATGGCAAAAACTTTAGGATGTTAAGACTGATTGCATCGTGGGCTAGAGTGCAGTAGCAGAGCACTTGCCTGGTATGCATGAGGCCCTGGGATCTACTCCTAGTACCATACAAGAGAAAGGAGGGCAGGGGAGGGGAGAAGAGGGAAGACTAAAAGAAAAATGTCTCTACAAGGACTTAGAACTAAAGCAGGGCACTAATGCAACTAAGTGCTTTGCTCCAATGTCAGAATATCTCTATTCTGACAAGAAAAAGACCACATATGCCTGTCAAAAATAGGGGAGGGGAAAGTGCAGAATGAAAAAAAAACTGTTAAGGAAATTAATGGTTGATTCTATAATTCAAAACTACCACTATTTAAAATAGCTTAATTCTCTGATTATAACAGTTCAAATATCACGAGGACAATGCCATAAGGGTTTTAAATGTTAACTGGCACAGAAAAGAAGTTGATGTCAAAATGTTTTTTAAATAATGTTTCATGTTTATTTTCTGATTCTAAAAGCAAAACATACTATGGAGAATTTCGAAAACATATATAATAATATTTAGGGGGAAAATTACCTGTAAAATCACCAACATTCCATATCAAATGTTTTTATCCATATTTACATGTTCACACACATACATAGAACAAAAATGGAACTATAATGCATAAAATTGTATGTGCCTTTCTACTTATTTTATCAGAAGCACATTCCTATGTCATTAAATACTGCTGTAAACCATAAGTTTAATGACTACCCAACAAATAGTTTACTTAGCTAATCAAAACTGGGGATTTTCTGAATTAAAACTGTCAATCACAAATTAAAGTCCTCTAGATCAGCTTCTGTTGACTTTAAAATCCACCTAAGAGCTTCTACTCAGTAATCTCAAGTTACAGTCTGAAAGCACTGGAATGTTCCAACAAAAAATTTAGTGAAATTTACTGGGCTTTAGCCATAAAGGATGCTCACTAATGACTGCATTTTTCCAGAGTGCATCATTATGTAATTAGTCTTAGGAAGAAACTGAGTATCAGAGATGGAGGTGGTAATAATGAATAAGAACTAATAACTGTCAACCGTTAAGATAGAGTGGCTATTTGTAATGTTTTATTTTTTTAATAAACCAAAATAAGTAAATATATAGACCTATTACCTATATAATTAAGTTTTCAAATGGATATAGAAAAATGCATACAGAAAAAGAATGGAGGCAAATATGACAAAGGGTTAATGGTTATTAATTCTAGAATACGACATTACCCCTCATACTTTTTTACATTTTAAATTTTTCTTTCAAAAATTAATGTTAAATTAAAAGATTAGTCATGTAAGATAATTCATATTTTCATTATTAAAGTGGAAGTAAATCAGTACGTTTGCCAGAGGCTAAGTGGATCTTTTGAAAAGGAAAAACAAAAAGCTAAGCATGAAACATTAGAAATTTGTTCTAAAATAAAACTATTTAAAACTATAGTTTAATTAGCAATAGTAATGTTTCATGTTGGAAATAAGCCTAAGGAATGATCACCTTTTAAGCTTTATAAGCTATGTTTCTTTCAATATTGCTATTGCTATGTTCTATCAAATTATGATATTTTCCTATTTCCTCAAAAAAAGCTATTTTAAGAGTTAAGCAAATAATATGAAAACTGCAAAACTGCATTCCAGCTTCTGTCTCCAATTTCCTTTACTTTATATACCTAAAGTTTTCCTGATGTTAGATTTTTGTTTTAATTCCAACTTCTAAAATCCAAACTTAGTTTAGCTGACAATTGAGTTTACCACTTGATGAAATGTTTTACTGAACATAGTTGCAATTTTTCAAGTGAAGCCCTGAGCAGACAAAAATAAACAAAATGTTACAGAATAAACCAAATCTTCACATTAATTTTTACCAACAAAAATTTAAAAATAAATGCAAGTTTTGCTTTAGTTGTCCCGTTTTCCCAAAATGCAGCTTTGGGTTGTCTTAACTTTGCAATTCCCCACCCGCTATTTCCACTGATCAGTTCTCACCTTCCCTCCCTGCTGGAACACATGAATTTTTCAGCAAAAATGACTCACTCACTGGCATCACGTCAAACTAACCCTGAAACTACAAGGAGGCTCAGTGCAATAGAATTCTTAAGCTAGAACACTTTCACTAGCACACATCATCAGTTTGCAAGAACTGAATCACATTCAGAGCCAAATACATGCTGACAGACTGTGTAGATCCACCTTACAAATTGGTCTCCATTATCCCACCTCCTCCTAATTTTACATCAGCAATTCCCTAATCTAAAGTACCCCCTGTCGCAGAGAAAACAAAACAGCAAGCTAAAAGAAAAGGAGAGCCAGTTAAAAAGTAGTTGTTCACTCAGCTTGAAAGAAGATTTAATTCATTAACTTATCTATTCTCCAAGTTTCTTCCTTAAAAACAATACAAACACAATCAAGAATGTCTAGAAATAAATTACTCACTGTTATTATTACACTCAATAAATGCTTTATCAGTTTATCACTTTGCTCCACACATTTACCTTTGTAAATTTTGGTTCATATATTTACTCCAAGACAGAAAATGCCCTTTTTAACCAGAGGGAAAATGATGTGGAAGGAACAAAAAAACAAATCTTTTATCAGATTACCATAAACATTTACTTAGACCTCTATCAATTGTCACACTCCACCTGGTGGCAGGAGCCGCCTGCACTGATGAAGTAGAGGTCATTATACAACACTCTCCAAATGTCCTGGGAAAAAAGCCACCTGCTCTTCCCTTGCCCTACACGGAGTAAAAGTCTAACAAGTTTTCACTCAAGTTTTTTCACATCATAGTGGTCAATATCTACCAAAGATTAATATAAAAGTATGATAAAATCAATGTCTCATTCTTCAAGAATTTATTTTTTTTATTTTACAGAGACTCATGTATAACCAACTGCCTACATTTAGAGATGCACTTAACAACTGTTCTCTCACAGTAAGTGAAATGTCAGCTTGAGCTTTAAAGCAGGTAACCAGACACCTACAGCAGCTACAAGGTTTTCGATCACACACTCCCACTGACTTTCTTTACTTCTTCCCCTATGGGCAAACTATAGAGTTTAATTAACAGAGTTAACGGCAGCCTGCCACATTGCTTTTAGGTATTTGCCAGTAACATATACCCATGGGATACTCTAGAGACTGATTTCCACCAAAAATAAAAATAGATAAACAGAGCTCAAACAAAATTAAAGCCGAGTCTGGCTGCCCACACTTATTTTCACACATGAGGAAAAATAGCAGTTCTCTTAGAAGCCTCAAGCGGACATATCTTTAGAACACAATGTTAAAAATATGCCCCCCCAATTCCCCTACCTGTTTCTCACTCAAAGCTGTGATTTTGGCTTGGAGTTCATGAAGCTGTTTCTTTAAGTCAGCATTCTGATTGGAAAGAAAAAATATCTGTGAGAAAGATATTCATTTGTTAACAGAATAGTAACAAGAAGATTATGCATACTGTACTACAAATGATGAAGCAACCTTAAACACTTAGCCAACCAAGTTTGTCATGCACTAAATCATAACCATAACATAACCCCCTAATGCTTCAATCCTAAATGTGGCCTTCTAAACCCAGAACAGGGGCAACTTCTTTCTTTTTATATTTTAGCATCTGGTACTGTAACAGTACCTTACTACTAAATACTGTTATTCTTTTTAGCAAGTATAAACTGACACAAAAGCTAAAGCTCCACTAATCAGGCAAAGGCAGTAAATGGAGGTAGTAAGGATTCATACACTGCATGCTAAGCGGCATTATCAACAAAGATAAGAGGTTTTTCTCTACCTCCTCTTCCTTGTTTAGTAAAGTACATTTGTCACTGTAGCCTAGATTTGAAAAGCTGTCGGAACTGTAACTGCCTCAACACCACATCATTCAAATTAACACACTGACTACCAGGGCATTTTCTCAGTTCCAAAATTCCAGGAATCAAAAAAGAACACTGTTTACAATGAGATACTGAGCATGCTGGATTTCTACTCAAGGAGGGGAAAATACAAAATTACTTTTCAGATGCTTAACACAGCAAGAGAGCCTACTAGCAGACAAAACACCAATGAGAACCAATTTTCACTTGGTCATTTCATACACAGTTCTTTGAATTTATGCTACCTGGTCTTCTCTAGGGTTGGGACACATATTTACTCCCTCTACTAAGTTTCAAGTTTACTTCATTTGTACTTTTTAAAGTGTGTGCTGTAAGTCTTCTCTAATCAGATCACCTGTAATGCTTTCAAAGTCACTGGCCCTCAGATTCTCCAGATTAAGACTGTCCTGTCACATGGTCACCCACTGTATCACAAATGCTAGCTTCTAATAGTACTTCAATCGCTGAAAATGTAGGCTACTACACTAAATGTGAAAGCTTGTGGAAGTGAATGATAGAGAAAGTAGGGTCTACTGCCTCTTAGTTCCCTAAATCCAATTTAAACTGTAAATACACCCAAAGATAAAAGTCAAGTTCCTCATGGAAGTTGAGCAGGTCTAAATGTGGGCTATAATGCCAACTCTCAGAATCCACAGATTGTGTTAAAATACAATAGTCAGACAACTAAATTCTAAATTTGTAGAAATGAGTATTATTTTTCACTTACAAAAACCAGTATCTCAGTACCATTCTTTAAGAATTTATTTTTTTTTATTTTATAAAGATGCATGTATGGCCAACTGTCTAATGGCTGCAAATGCCTGAATAACAAATATAAATTTTTGAAAAACAAGATCACTGTGGTAAGATTTTTCTTCAAAAATAAAGAATATAATGCCCAAAGTCAAAAAAATTCTTTGAAGATTTAAACAAAAGTTAACATTTCAGGGAATATTTTACTAGATAAGGTACTTCTAAAACTCCCCTTTAATGGTTCTTTCAAAAAGTTTTCTAGCCTGCTTTTTAAAAATTATTCTAAAATTCTTTCCCCAAACACAGTAGTACTCCAATATTCTATAATATAAATTCCAAGTAAGAATGGCTTTGCTCTGCTTTCAATAACACTGAGACTAAAGAAATTCTAACAATCTCTGGTTTTGAATAAATGGGTTTATGGAAATGAAATTTAACTTACATGAAAACTATCAACTCTCAAAATACTCAAAGCAATTAACATAAAAGCTAAATAATAGTAACAAAGATAAAATTATAGCTACATTATAATAGAATGAATGGATTTTTTTTCTAGACCCATAAAACATGAAGACCAGTGTGCTAAAAATATTTGCTATTAGGGATGAAATAGTTTTTAAATTCAAGTATAACCTATGCTTTAATGTTTTATGATCATGTTAATTTTTTCAATTTAAAAATTAAATGAATAAAAATTGTGTTTTACCTGTGGATCCTGCTTCATTTGAGCAACCAGTTTCTGGCAATAAAGAGAGAAAAACAACCATCAGTTTTACATATTAACTTCCTAGGACCAATCAGGTTTAGCCCAAAAATCTAGGGTTTTAAATTGACACAAAAAAATGAACAGCCCTGCAATGAGAATAGACCAATAAGCTTCTGTCATCCATGTAAAAGGCTACTGATGCAGTCTTCCTTTTTCATTTTGAAACAAAAAGTCTCGCTGTGTAGTTCAGGCTGGCTGCAAACTCACTTGTGTAGCCAGGCTGGCCTCAAACTTACAGTAACCCTCCTGCCTCAGCATCCCAAGTGCTTGGATCACAGGTGTGTGCCACATCTGGCTGAAGCACTCTTCTTAATAGAAAAAAACCCAAACTATCACTTTTTATATGAAATGAAAAAGTATTTGATTTTTAAATGTGGAGAAGAGATAGGATATGGTCACTACTTTTTTTTTTTTTTTTTCTGAGGCATGGTCTCTTGTCATGCAGTTCAGGTTGGCCTTGGGCTCACTTTATAGCCCAGGCTGGTCTCAAACTCTTAATGATCCTCCTGCCTCTACTCCTGACAGAGTGGCTTCTGAAAGCCAAGATGGATATTCCAAGAGCCCTTAGAAACACTGTCACTGTCTAGAGGCCCCGGTTAGGCCTGGAAAAAACCTGCATCCATATAAAACCAGTCTGTTTGAATATAATGAAGCACAAATCTGGCAGGTTTACTGGTTTTATAACAGAAGAAACCAAATGTCCAATGTGACTTTGCCACTTCCTCTCTCCAAGCAGGAGGGGACACAGGACAGGATGTGTTTGGTGGATCCGTGATATTCAGTATTTGAGAACAAGAAAGTGGAACAACAATGCAAAACTCTACCCACCTGGCATCCTCTGAGAAAGACAGTGCTACCCCGACACCCAGTGAGAAAGACCTTCACCAACAATCAAAAAGCAAGAATCAAATGTCATCTGACCTAACTCAATCTGAACAAACATCGTTGCCAAAAGGGAACAATAACCAAGGATACAAGAATTTGCAGGATAAAGGAGTATCAGAAGGCTGATTCCTATAAGTTACTAGAAATAAGCCATTTTTCAAGTGATTTCCAAGGGAATTCTCATATAATGGAAAAATCTGTCACTCTGGGTGACAAGATACTTTTCAATTGTTTAGTTACCAAGTAAAATCTTTCTAAAACATAGTACATACTTACATATTAAATAGAAAAATCAAGCTCACTGCCACTTAGAGGCATGATAATATTAATATACTGTACTACAAACAAGGCTCTTATAATAAAAGGCCCAAAACTGCTGTTCTTATGTCTTCATTTTAGCTTTTCACTCTACTCAGTTTCAAGCAGTCTGCCCTAGCAAATCTTACTATTACTCTGCCTCTCGCTAATACCCATGAACCCCAACTCAAATTTGCTGCTTTGATCTGCTATGTGATACACTTGTTGCACTCATTAGATGAGTGAACAGGTGACGATAAATAACTTAAAAATCCCACTTGAGTAAAATATATTATCTTTGGTAAATGACCTCTGATATTTATTCTAATTGGACAAAAACCTTTCCCCTCCTGGTTCTAAGATACATTGCATGTAGTTGAATTTACCAACCATGGGACCTCTCAACACACAAAGGATCAATCACTATATTCTAATTCATACTTAACAGTACCAATGTTGCTCTTCTATATCCTAGTCTGAATCTACATAGCAGTAATATATACCCCAAGAGCTCAACAACATTCAAACACAAGATTTTAAACATACACATTTTTACAAATCTAGACTCTTCAATAAGAGAGTCTCTAATTTTCCTTTGTGATATAGTTATAAAGAATTGGTAGTTATACCTTTTTAAAACTGAAAAAGCTTTTCTTCCAGGACACAGAAATTGGGGGCAGGGGGTTGATACTGGGAATTGAACTCAGACCTCATGGTTGCCAGGACACTGGAATATAAAAACTGATAACCACATTGACTCTCCACCTCCGGAGGAAACAAACCAACTGTTCTCTATCTAAACAGTTACACTGTGTTTCAGAAGAGCAAAAGGTAGGACAGGACAAGCTAAGAAAGTGACTAGACTGATGATAGCGAACCTGTGGCACGTATGGCTCAGCAGGCACGCAGAGCCCGCTCTGTTAGCACAAAAGCGAGTTGCCCCAGCAGCTGAGCATCAGATAACAGTTATTTTTTCTAAACTAAAACCTCAGTATTCAGGTTTAATTGTAGTGTTGGCACTCGCAGTAAATAAGTGGGCTGCAGTTTGGGCACTCGTCTCTAAAAGATACATCACTGGACTATCCAAATCCAGTGACTTTGAACTGACGTTTTTATCAAAGCCAAGTCACTTTCTGTTGCATAAATGCAGCCATGTTTCATGAGAATGCACTTTACACCAATGATGAGCAAACACAGCCAACAGGCCAAATCTGGTCCACCACCTGTTTTTAGAAATAAAGTTTTATGGAACACGGCCACGCCCAACTGTTTGTGTATTTTCCATGGCTGATTTGTCTGTACCTCAGCAGATCAGAGTAGTTATGACAGAGACTATTAATGACCTTCAAAACCTAAAATATTTTACCATCTGGCCCTTTTCAGAAAGTTTGCTAATCTTATTTGTTTTGTTTTGTTTTGTTTTAGACAGGGTCTGGCTATGTAGCTCTGGCTGCGCTTGGTCTCACTTTGTAGCCCAGGCTGGTCTCAAACTTGCAACAATGCTCCTGCCTCAGCCTCCCTAGTGCTGGGATTACAGGAATGTACTACTACACCCAGCTGCAATTCCAATACTCTTAATGTCATTTTGGGCATCCCTGAAAGTATCATGATCACACAGTTATCTCATAGTCAAGATAACTTCAGTTTTCAGAAGAACATACATCATTTGGATACACTGTTAATAATTATTTTCAAAAATATCAAGGTATTACAGATGTAACTGGAGTGTAACATATAAAGCATATTTTATATGCTTTAACATATAAAGCTTTATATGTTAAAATATTTTGGCATTTTTGACATCTACTAGATTTGCAGAGCTCAGAATTAGCATGGATGAGAACTTATAATAAAGCTTCAAATATTTTGACATAGAAATAAATGTTTATTATCACATAAAGTATTATATCTGAATTAAGAATGAACACAAAATCTATCAAGGTTATGGTGGGGAAAAAAAGCCCCAGCTAAATATACAGGGAAGGGGCTGGGGATTTAGCTCAGCGGCATAAGCGCCTGCCTTGCAAGCAGGCAGTCGTGAGTTCGATCCCTGGTAACGATAAAAAGGAAAAAGACAAAAATAAATACATACATACATACATACATACATATACAGGGAAGCAGACTGACAGTTAAATAAGAATATTAAGAAAGAGTTCAGGGTAAATTTTGAAAGAATATTATATCCCATACAGGCATAATTTTAAATTTTTATTAGATTTTAAAACTGGAGATTAAATTTTTCTTAATTGTTAATTTTACAAAAGTGGTATGACTGAGTTCAAAATATAAAAAAAATACTATCTAAGAACCATATTTAATTTAGTAATTAAGTTCAATTTAGGTCATGTCTTTCAAGAAAAGTGTATTTGGGACACGTCTGTATCCTGTGAGAAGAAACTAAAAGCATAATACTAACTTGGCAATCTCAAAATTTCTAGAGAAGGAAAAACTACAAAATTCATATACAACATCATAAAACTATCATCAATTCACACAAATTTCAGACTGATTACTGTATTCCCAAAATCCACTATGACTCAGCTTTAAATAAACTGTGAATTTAACTTTTATTACTTGCCATAGAGATAAACAGGGTACTCAACACACCTCTATGTTAAGACACTTTCAGCCAGGAAAAACATAAGCTTGTTTTTATAAATAAATTTTACTCTCATCCATTACTACTAAAATCAAGATCAAATAAAACAAAACATGTACAAATTAAATATACTAAAAGAAACTCCACTTATGCAAGACACACTGTTACTAAGGAAGCATTTATCAAGGTCCCAAGCAGTGGAAAGCAGTTCACATAGATGTGTGTGTGTGTGTGTGTGTATGTCTGTATGTGTACATAAAATGCCTCTGAAGCTTTCCTGTAAGTTCTCATCCACATTGTGAGCAATGTGCAAATCTAATCAATGTCAACAATCTAAGCTATCTTCCAAGATAGCTTCAGAAATTAATGTTAAATTAGATTATTCAGATTTAAAAAAAAAAAAACTATACCTAAGAACAAACAACTTTAAAAAGTAGCTCCCAAGTCAGGCATGGTGGCACACACTTAAATCCCAGCACTTGAGAGGCTAAGGCAGGTGGATCACTGTGAGTTCAAGGCCAGCTTGGGCTACATAAGTGAGTTCAAGGGCAGCCAGAAGTGAGGTCCTGTCTCAAAAAACAAAAAATAAAATCAAAAAACAAGAAAAATGAGCTTAGGGGCTGGGGATTTAGCTCAGCGGCATAAGCGCCTGCCTTGCAAGCAGGCAGTCGTGAGTTCGATCCCTGGTACCAATAAAAAGGAAAAAGACAAAAAAAAAAAAAAAAAAAGAAAAATGAGCTTCCAGGCCAGGGATGTAGCTGACACGTAAACCACTGGCCTAGCATGTAAAAGCCCTGATTTTAATCTAGAACCAAAAAAAAGTTTCCTTCTTTCTATTCCTGTGTTCCCAATTATTACACATTCATAGTTAAAATTTATTTTAACTTAACTATGTATCGCTTTTGAGTACCAAAGATTATTTGTATGTCTTAAACCTAATAAATGCCCAGTTAATGTAAAAAAAAACAGATACAAAATAGTATTTACACAATAAATGCTAATAATTATTTATGGATAGGTTTTGTCTTATTTTTAATATATATATTCATAATCAATATACAAAATTATTTTATTGAGACCATTGTTGCATGACACAAACATATTACACAATTATAATAGTTCATTTATATAGACAATTTTATAATTATATATGCTTAAACTTTTTTAAGTATGTAAGGTAAAATATAAGAATTTTTAATTTTTTTTTGTACTGGAAATTGAACTTAGGACCTTGTGCTTGTCAGGCAGGTACTTATGTCACTGTACTATGTCCCCAGACCCAATAATTGTGAAATTTTAAAACGAAGTACCTGTGAAAGGAATCTTTATCAAAGATTGGAATCAAGGAATAAATTGAGCCAAAAGATGAGTCAAGATTTTACTGTATACGGTGATATATGGTAACTGAGCTAAACAAGTCTCATTACATTAAATGCAAACAGTTCTTTAAGTGAATTACTGCCCCCCCCCGAAATAGGCAAAAAAAAAAAAAAAAGGTGTTTTTTGTAATACCTCTGGGATATAAAAAAATGTATTTTACTAAATATAGGGGTTGGTGGCTCTGGGGATTAAACTCCAGGGCACTGTGCTACATGCCCAACTTTCTAATGTTTTTAGCCAGGCTCGCACGGATTGCCCAGACTGGCCTGGACCACACCCAGCTCCTACTAGAAGTATCCTTGAAGTATCAGGAAAGTCCTTAAAGTATCAGTACATTTGCTGAACACTGATGACAGGCAGATGACATGACTGCTGGACAACTGTTTTAAAGACGATTTGAAAACCACTAAATCCAGAAATGGGCCTGTTTACTAATTGTAGTTATTTAATAACACAGTGAGAGAAGCCAATAATGCAACATACCTGATGAACCTGAATTTCCACTTTAAGAGCCTCCTGGAGAGTCTGCAACTCCATTCTCTACCTTCTCCACTTTCTCTTATGTCTGCAAATTCTATAGTTTCTTCAGCCTCCGCTTAAAATAACAAACTCTTCTTGCTGCAGCTGTAGAGATCACAAAACGTTTTGTACCATTATAATAAAAATCAAGAAAATGTATGTGTTCAATAAAATAAGTCAAAAAGTATTTGATTTTTTTTAACGGGGGGGGGGGCTCCAAACAGATTTTTTACCAAAACAATTCAGTACCAAAATTTTTTGGGTTTCATTCTTTGAGTACCTACCTACAGAACACTTGAAATAACTAAGAAAAGAAAAACAATGGTTGTGGAAACATCTAAGCACCCGCTCCCACTCAGCACTGCACTACATACTATAAAGAATCTGGTGCGGTCTAATAATGAAGCGCGCTTCCTGCTTTACAATGGGCGCCATTATCCCCCCAACCCTGCCAGTGCATCTCCAGCTGGACAGCCAACAGTGTATGGAGATGGCCTCAAAGGCTAATTCGTGAGGATCACTGCCGACACCAGCCTGACTTCCTATGCTCCATTCACCAGTAGCATACTTTAAGGTAAAATGACTTATTTCTCCTTTAATTTTAAGTGTGAACTTAGACTTGATTTTAGGTATGCTACCAAAGCAAAAGCCTTTTATTGCTTGAATAAATTTAAAGTTTACCTCAAATCTCTTATCTTCCCTGTACTTGCTGGAGCAGTTTTTCAACATTAAGAAAAGAAACAACTGGAAAGCCAGAAGAACCACTGTGTTATACCAATACAATGAGTCAAAATATTCACATTTTCTAAAAATTTACTACTGAATAAATTATAAATTTAACCTAAATTTTCAAAAAAAAAGTGCACTGAAAACTATTTCAACAGTCATAGAATAATTAACCACAAAAGAAATTCTTATGAATATTAGTTTTCATTATATTTCCTTAAAACATTAGTGACAATCTTGTCTCCAAAGCGTATATGCTACGTTACATAATATCAAAATACTCTAGCTTGACAAAGAAAAAATTCCCAATGTGCAAGAGTCCTTCAAAGTTAATTTGTGGAAGCTAGGAAACATTTACCATACATAATATTGTTAACCAAAAAATTTCATAAAGGCAATATATTTAAGAGAATTTGGATACAGAAACATTCTGATTAATAAATCTGTTTTAGGTATTTTATTATATTTTTTAAATCTTTGGAACTACAATAAATAAGTTATTGACTTAGGATTTTGTTGTCATATAAGCTTACTCTACATGCAACTGCTAACTTTAAAATTATATAGTCTCTTTAGTTTTAAACACTGTATGCCCCTATACAAATTCTTAATGTATACATTATAGTTCCTTTTGAAAACAGTATGTGGTTTTAATTTCAGCAAGATTCTATCAGAAAATGTGTTAAAAAATGGTTACTTATAATTTTTGTTAAATTAAGAGTCACCTGAAGTTAAAGGAATATTTTCAGAAACAGAAAGACATATTTTATTTTTCCTATTACAAATTAATAGCTCAAGTGAACCCATAAAAATGAAGGAAACAAATGGCAGGTTAAAAACATAGAGAATTTACAACATACTTCACAATAGTTCATATTACTTATATAGCTCTCATGAATTAATAAAAAAAAAATCTGTGTAAAAGTAATTCACAGAAATGAAAATAAGAATGACCAACAAACATGAAAAATATAATAATATTATAATATTGTAATTCAATAATAATGCAAATATAAAATTTAAGAAGTTTTGTCTATCAAACTGAAGGCCTGTAAAAATAATAATACTGTGAACTATCTAAAATTGTCTGGTAACATTTTATAATTTGTTACATGTTTGTAACACTTTGTAACTTGGTGGTGGTTATCTCTGGATGATAGCACTGGGAGTCATTTACAGTACTTACTTCTGTGGGGTGTAATGATATTGTCAAAATTTACCTGTTTCTTTTTAAATAAGAAAAAGTTAAGTGAGGATGGATAGATAAAGCATCAGAAAATTTTGTACTCATCAAACAAAATGCTTGGGAAAAGAAAACATAAGAGCAGGGTTTAACCTGGAGACTCTAAATGTCAAAGAGCACCCTGCACGTTAATAAGCCTGCAACTCAAGTTAATGAGGAGCTGACAGCTTTTACTTCCTCCGTCAAGTGTTGTCTGCTTATTGGAGATACACAAAGGCATGAAGTTTTATTTGGCTAGGACTCTAAATGCCAATTACCCATTTTATTTCAAAATAAAACTGAAGGGTTAAAAACGTAGTAACTATTTATAGAAAAGCTCACTAAGGATTAGAACATTCATTTGAAATTCTTTCTGTCCTTCTGTTTGTCTGTCTGCCCTTTATTTGTTTAGCTGTTTCAGGGTACTAGGGATTGAGCCCAGCGCTCTATGTGTATTGGGTGAGCACTGTACCACTGAGCTACACTGCCAAACCGGAAAATTCTTTTTCTGGATGGTGATTGTAAGAGACCAGTTTCTGCCTAAAGGAACAAATTATAAACATATATTTATAGTTTACAAAAGTAAGGAAGGAACATACTGACTATTTTAAGAAACATTCTGGGATCTTAGACAACTTCATGAAACCATTATCTGCATACTACCTGGGTCAATTTATACCATCGAAAGAAGCATTATTTCTAAATTTATGAGAATGATATTATATTTTGATCAATTTTAGTAAGTTATAAATAACAAATCAGTTGCTATAAGGAAAATATAACAGCCTTACAAAACAATAATAGACACATTTTACGCAGACATAATAATACCTTTACCCAAGGCTCTGCACACTACCAGCAAGGAAGATATTTGCCTAACATAACACACCAATGTCTACATTCGTCACCACTGCACATCGCCACTGGGATACTTAATGGCCTCACACCGCTAAACAACAAAAAGCAAAACATAAAAACACAAGCAAGGAAACAAACATCTCCACAAGCCAAACAAAAGCAATTATCAAATCCCACTAAAAACCCAAATACGGTGGTGAACACCTATAATCCCAGCACTCTGGAAGGCTGAGGCAAGAGGATTACAAATTCTAGCTCAGCCTGAGTAATTTAGCAATTTAGGGTACCCTTTCACTAAACAAACAAACAAGTAAGTAAATAAAGGCTGGGAATGTTAACTCTGTGTGAAATCCCTGGGTTCAAAAAAACAAAACACTTCACTAAAAAATGCAGTTATGGTATCTACACTTGACCTTAGCCAAAGGCTGAGAGGCAACTACAGTTATGATAGCTACAAAGAACATATATTGTCCCCCCAATTACAAACAAAATCACTTCACAATTAGCTGAGTCACAGTGTGACTACAATACTCTCACCCTCAGAGTGAGTTTGCTTGGTTATGGGGAAAACAGTATCACCTACTTCATAGGACTGTTGTATGAAAAGCCTCTTGTGAACAAGTTCTGTGCTATTCTTGACATATTTAACTCTTCAAATTCTACACTAAAATTTTGTACTCAAACTCTGTTATAAAACTTCTGAACATACCTTATCTCTACAGGACTGTAGGTTTGGAGGCTATAGATAGCTCAGTGGCACAACACCTGCCTGGCAAACACGAGGTCATGAGTTCGATCCCAGTACCCAAAACACAGAAACACTGTAGGCTTTGCTATTCTCAAAGTCTCTAAGAAGTCTTCTGTATTTCTGAATACTTTTGCTTAGAGATATGTGATATCTAGGTCTTTTATTATGATTATGATAACTTGGAGGAAAGCCGTAACTCTGGTTTTAGTGCTAAGAAATCTGCTTTATTACTAAATTGACATAAACCTTGCTCTAATCAAAACTTCACTGGATAACCAACAGTTGTAAGTAACAGTAAGTCTGTGACAATGTACCTCAGACTGCCTAAAAACAGCTAGCTGTTCTCTATACCACACATTTGTCATAGAATTGTTTCTTCAACAAAAATTATTTGTTGCAAAATTTTGTATCTATATTCTCACATACAACATTTACAAGAAGTCTAACTATTTTTAAGTAGGAAAATATAAAATTAAGGTAGGTTTCTGTACACTTTCATCTTGTCCAATGCTTGACATTCAGATACCAGGTTTCACTGGGTCCAAAATACTTAATATGTATCTAACACACAATGAGATAAAACTAGTAGTGCCAAGAAATTACCATGGATGCTAAAAATAATACAATTATTTTATACTTATTGAAGAAGTTAGCCTTCTTAACATGAATCAAATGACATTCAAAAAATTATAGTTCTCTTATTGTTTAGGAATTTTCAACCCACCCTGCCTTGTTTTCATGGTGGTATTTCTTTGGTGACACTCCATAGATCCACAGAAAATGCACCTCCACAAAAGCCCCGCAACCATCACTTTAGAGGCAACCCAAACTTTGAATCTGACAAGGTTGTTATTATCACACCCCGGTATGACAGCAGTTAACAAAAATCACCGCAGCTAGTTAGATTTTCAAACTCTTATTAAATTAAGTAGTTAATGCTGTACAATAATATCTATCTTCCCCTTGATGGTTCGGATTTGGGAGGGTGGGGCAGTTTCTCATTTTTCAAAAAAAGGAACACCTACATGATCCACAGCACACAGTCCAGGGCTCTGCGGCCCTCTGGGCAGGCCAGGCCAAGGGTCCCCGCCACTCGCTCTGCACATGCTCCTCTGCGGCTATGGCCTACATCGCCCCTCCCTGGCAGTGTTCACCCCACGGTTTCGCCCTCAGCGTCTGGGGCCCAGGCTGTCTGCACACATGCATACTCTGACTTCCTATCCTTTACAGAGGTCAGGCATGTCCACTGAAACTATCTTGACCACACCGAACAAGATGAACACTGAAGTAAACATTTACATTTATAGAAATTCAAAGTGAAGAAGACTGAGAGTAAAGTGTATAACAGCATAGTGACAATGAGACTAAGATCTTAGAACTAATTGCCACGTACCAGAATGCTAATGATTTTAACAAGTATAAAAGTATCCACACAAGCCCGGTCAGAATCTTATAAATATATACCACACAAAAGATAACACAGGAGTGGGTGATGGTCTCAGGATAACCAATAAATACATAATAGAACTTAGGGGAGATAGAGTTCAAATCTATTAAGGAAAAACTAAGGATTAGAGCTGTACAAAAAAGGAATGGGTTACCTTATGAGGTAGTGGGCTCCCTGTCATTAGAAGTATTCAAGAATGCTGCATATCATATCCCCCTCTTGGAGATTCACAATGCACATTAGCATATTAAAGGTTCTGAGAAGTCCTGCAGTAAAGAAACCTGTTTAACTTTGTTTAACGCAGTTATTTCCCAAATTATATGACCACAGAGCCCTTCTTCCCACCCCATCCCCACCTTGGTAATATTTATTCAGTTTCTGTGGAACCAGAGTTCCTCAGAATACATTACAGAAAATAATGATCTACTTTTTTTAAATGTAGTAATCAATATGTACCTGAATAAATAACAACCTGTTAGGGATATAGGAAAAGAAACTGCCACACAAGATAGAAGGCTGGATGAAGACCCTTAAATATCCTTCTTTAAGATTCTATGATTCTAACACACCACAAAGTAAAAGGGCTTTGCTTATTTATTTTAAAAGATTTCATAAGACAATGGTCAATAAAATTAAAAAGTAAAAAGTGCAGTTAGCCAGTTCAAGTATCTCCCCTTCCATGTTCAAAGACTAGTCACTGAGAGGTAAGAGAGACACCTCAAGGATTATAAATTATCAAAAAGAAAACCTAACCAAATATCTACTGTATCTACTCTATTCACCTACCTTAATTACTATTTGAGAGAGAGGATTTTTTTCAAGCAGTCTTGTATTAGAGAACTATACTATTCCAGCTATTTTAATTTTTTCATAAGTTTAATAATTGCTTGATGTTTTGTCACTAACTGCCCTGTATACATACTCTCTGATCTTAAATTAGACATTCAAAGAAATGCTTAAGTGTGATGAGTTATAGCCATTTGAAAATCTATTTAAAAAGGTAGTAGGAAAAAATGCCCTATATTGTTGCCTATCTCTTCTGTCTTCTCTTCTCTCTCTCTCTCTCTCTCTCTCTCTCTCTCTCTCTCTCTCCTTAGTTTTCCCTGAGAATTATATAAAACAACACACGAAAAACATGGTATCACACATAAAGCCAATCTAATATTTAGAATATAAATACTGAGGGCCAGGGGTTTAGCTCAGCAGCACAAGCACCTGCCTGGTAAGTACGGGGTATGAGTTTGATTCCCAGTACACTCCCTAAAAAAGATATAGATATATACACCCTTAACAGTTCTGTATTTCAAAGTCAAAATTCTCAGTTACATTAACCTAGCCATTCTGCACATACACAGAAGGACATCAAATTTAACAGCATATTAAATAATACAAAACACAGTTGGGAAGCTTAACATTTGAAGTTACTGATTTTCAAATTGTCAGCTCTAACTACTTCATTAAGGAAATTTTTGGCCAAGGGGACCTTTACATTGTAATAGGTTATCAATGAAGGAACATGCAAGCCTAGCAGTATTATGAGAAGTACAAATGCCATCTGAGAGATGGCTATGTGAAATTAGACAGAAATTCACTTTTAGTCAGTGAAAACAACAAAGTCTCATTTCTCAGAAAAAGCCCTTTTTGTGCAAACAACAACAAAACGCCTGAATATTTGAATTATTATTCAGCTAGGATCAGGCATATTCTGTCTGCCTAGAAAAAGTACTTACCAATTTTGGGGACACTGGCTCTCCTTCAGCTCTCCAGCCCCCTATAACAGAAGGAGGGGAAAAAATGGAATTAGATCACAGATTTATGACATGTTTGTCAAAAGCTGAAAACTCAAAAAGATTTCTATCTGATTTTAAGAAAGAACTGAAACACAAGCCTCCAAATGGTAAAACACAAAAAGGAAAAAAAAGTTTTTAGAGCAAAGAAACAATGCAAGAGCAGGTAAATTTTGGTTTTATCATAGTTTTTCAAAACAAGGGAAGCGTATGATGGTGCACTTGCCAGCACTTGGGAGGCTGAGGCAGGAGGACTGCTCAGTTCAAGGCCAGCCTGGGCTGCATAGTGAGACCTTGTCTCAAAAAAAAAAAAAAAATCAAGAAAAGAGGGTACAATTGACACTTGAACAATGAGGGGAGGTATTGGGGGTGAGGAGTTTAATAAATACCCTACAAAGTCAACAATCGGAGTGTAACTTTTGACTCCTCAAAAACTTAAAACAGTGGATTCACACATTTTATACATTATCTGTGCTGTACAAAAGTATAGTGAAATGTGGGTGATAACTACAAGATAAGCAATTTGCTGGAGATGAACTGCTCACATGGAGATGATTAGCGTCACACAGTGTTTTCAGTGGATACCCGCAACACTTGAGCTCTCACACCGCACAGCAACAGGAGGTGCCTGGGAGATTACTCCAACAGGACAGTATGCACTACGGTGCATTTAATGCAGGCATCATTTAATACTGCCTCTTTATGTTTGTTTATATTTCTCTTGCCTGTAAATGGTTTCATGCTTTAACTTTTATACTAGCTATGTATATATTTAATGGTAACAAATGGTAACAAAATACTATTTACATATATCTTACATATTTGTGACATTTTTCTAAAAAATTTCAGTATTTTTTAAGGACACATAGTTCAACTGTTTTTCAAACTCTACAAATCTCAAAAAAAAAAAAAAAAAATCTGCATATAAGTAGACCTGGGCAGTTCAAACCCATGTTGTTCAAGGTTCAACTATAGTTGTTAGCTTTTCTGTTCTAAGAAATTCGGAAATGATATTCGCCACATCTAAGCAACATACAGCTATACCCTCATCTGCCACAATCTTCACTGTATATTGCTTTATATGACAAATTAAACTAGCATCAGCAGCCCATACTTTAGTCCATTTGAAAGGTCATTTTCCAACTAATCTTGATATGCATTTGTCTTATGTAAGGCTTTAAAATTCACAGCATTATATAATGCATAAAATAATAGATATGTATGCAAATAATTCTATAGTCAGAAATTTTAAAATCATTTACATCCCTAATAATACCTTACCATTTTAAATTGTAAACCACAGACACAAAAAGTCATTTTTTTTCTCTATGCCACATGTCTAATCAGTGAGAAAGCCAAAAAAAAAAATATATATATATATACATATATCAAGGTTTTGGTATCCTGAGCCAGTATCAGGAAACAAAAATTGGAACTTTGCCCCTAACATTTTAGCATTAAATTACTTAAAACTCCACATGTCATGCTCTGCAAATGTCTTCCCTACACTTTAAACATAGTATGTTTGTTGACTGATGTTACTTCAATTGTGTCCCATTTCCTCAGAGGATACTTCAAAGAATTTTCACATCACAAACATTATAAATCTTTAATCATGTACAGTCACATCAAACACATAGTAAATTAGTAAAAGGGCTCCAATTCATGCAGTTAGCATTCATTTACAAAATAAATTCACTGGGCATGATGGTGCACATCTATAATCCCAGCACATGAGAGGCTGAGGCAAGAGGATAGCTTGTGCTACACTGAGTTCAAGGCTGGCCTAAACTACACAGTGAGACTGTATCTCAAAAAAAAGAATTTCAATTTGATGTTCTATCCTACATTTTCTTTAGCACTAGTCTTTTTTAAAGTTATCAGTCCAACAAAACGACAATTTTAATCAACTAGAGTAGAATCATCCCCAACTAAAAGAAAAATCACACAAAGTTTATAGTGACACAATTATTAAGAGTAGATTCCTAACATTATAGTTACCTACAGGACTCTGTAACTCTTAAAAGATCCCTAAATACTGCAAGGCAACGGTAAATGTTAAATTAATGAACTGACTGAATGGACACTTACACTGTCTGTTTCGGGCTTCTCTTTTCTATTACAATGGACTTTCTTTTTTAGCTCTTTTAGGACAGGGATAATTCATTTGCACTTGTATCCCACAGCATTATTTGTTGTCTGAATGACTTCTACAACTATTTTTATCCATATTGTTGACTAGGAAGTAAATTTTTAAGTAAAGACTGATACATTGGACTAAACTAAGAATTTCTGTTCATCCAAAGTAAAACAAACAAAAACCAGTGAGAATGAAAAAGCAAATCAAAGAACAGAACTGGAGATGATAACTGTAATACACATAATCAACAAAGGCATATACCCAAAATTATAAATATGTAGAAACTCAAAGCGATCAGGATAGGATGGCATTTTAACTTCTATTTATACAGCATCTGAGAAAGTATGATCACATGAACTTTTCTCAAAAGTCATATTCAGTTTGGCAGCACAATGTACAGAGCTACTTTATCTCCAGGGTGTTAGCTCCAAAATCCTATAGCAGAGACAGTCTTCAACGAATGAAGCCACAAAACCATGAAACTGCTCAGAAAAGTGCTTATAGGGACTGCAGAAGGCATCCAGCAAAGTGGATCCTTCGAGGTTAAGTGACTTCGTCAAAGGTCACTCAGCTTCCAGTGGCTGGTGGCACAGCTAAGGGGAGAGCTTGTAGACCCTGAGTTTCCTCTGAGCCTTCACTTGCCCTTAAGTTACTCTTCAAAGAAACAAACTACAATAATCACGGGAAACACTTGTAGAAAAGCCTGCATACCAAGTTTTAAGGAAAAATCACTTTAAGCCATCTAGGGCAGGTTTTAAAATCTGAAATTCTTTATTGTTAAGGGATCTCCCATGAGTGGGCTTCAGAGAGGTCTCTTGCCAAAATGATACCAAACTCTGTATGTGTGAGCCCACATATAATGTTCCAGGGAAGATAGTTCACAGTTTTGATCAGATTTACAAAAAGGTCCAGATATACCAAAAGAGTAAATCATTTTTAAGACTATAAATTCTTTTTTTTTTTTTTTTTGAGTGGGGCCACTACTGAGAATGAATCCAGGGCCTTTACACTAAGCTAAAACTCTGACCCTTTTTTTTTTCTTTTCATTTTCCGAAACAGGATATTGCTAAGTTTTACAGGCAGGGCTCAAACATGCATTCCTCCTTCCTCAAACTTCCACGGTGCTGGAACTAAGGACTAGTGATTCTCAAACGCTGTGCCTGAATACCCAAAATGTTTTCTCTGAAGACTGATTAAATGGCTACCACTTGGAAACTTGATAAAAGAAAGGCTAGTATTTTATTTCCATAAGTTCATAAGGCAAGGTATATAAACAATTTCATATATAAACAGTAAGTATAAAATGCAAAGTTGATTTCTTCATTTTAAGTTGATTTAGAAGTCTACTTAATTTGCTTTTTACATATATTTCATACTTGTAACTAAGGCTGTTCAAAATTTTTATTTGCCAACAAATTTTAAATATAAATTTGTTCTTGAAAAATACATTCAAGAAAGTAAATTATAAATGAAATTTTTTCTTTTAGAGCTAAATGTTATTTTGCTAACATAACATCATATTTTTTGCAAACTGAAGACTGTTCACCTTTCCAAAACTTCACAGGTAGCTACTCTAATTAGAGCTGGCAAAGAAACAAATCATTTAGATTTCTGATATCGTTATTAAATTTAAGATACTATAAATACATAAAAATTAATAACCACTTCTCCAGCACTTTTGTAAGGTATCTAAAACCTTGCTATAAGAATCTATATTAAATAAACAAATTTTGCAAAGAAAAAGTTTTAACACTAGATCATTCTTAAATTAGGCTAAAATTTAATTCAGCCCACTAAAAAATTCAAACGGTTAAGTTTATAGCCTGTGCTCAATCATAAATTTTGATAAGGGACTAGAATAGCACAAATAATTGTCATTCAAAGACACTTTAAAATGTCACCTTCCCCAGAAGATTCAATCTCCTCTCTTCCCCTACTATACCAAGCTGACAATAGTCCAGTAACTAAGTTTTATATACAATAGCTTTACTGCTTTTTATCTGCCCTTCTTAATTTCCAATAGAAAATACTGTACAATAAATTTGAAAACACCAGTAAGTGGTTAGAAGGAAATGCAGGATCCCACTTAATGAGGTGAAGACCTTTAGGCCCAATGGCTTAACCATCTCTGGGGCCCCTCCCTCTGGCCCTCTCATGGACATGCCTCCAGCACTTCTTCCTTTAATCCCACAAAGCATCATCTACTTCCCAACTGTCATTACTGAATCATTTTGTTCCTATCTTTAAAAAAAATAAAAGAGCACCCACTTCAAAACGAAACAACTCCAGTGACACTATATCCTTCTCTAGCAATTGTTCCCATGTCCCCACTTACCACCAAGCCCCCACAAACAGTTAACCACACCTTCCATCTCTAGTTCTTCTCTATTTCCCTAGCCAGCCCGTTCCACCAGGGCTTCTGCCTCCCTCCACTCCTGTCAAGACCACCAATGACTGCCTTTTTGCTAAGGCACTAGTAGTCTCAGTCCGCACTACATTGTTCAAATATGACCTATTTGAGCATTCTTTCCTTTTTAAACTCTCTTCCTTCTACTGACCCTCAGGATACCACCCTCCAATTTCCCCCTAGCCTCTCTGGCACTCTTTCGCTCTTGCTGATGTCTCCTCACTTACAAGGTCTCAAGTGTTGAAGGACCAAGGCCCAGGTTTGGATCTCCTCCCCTAAGATCACATGCAGCCTGTGGCTATAAAAGGATCCATGTACTGGCAATCCCCAAATTTTTATCCCCAGCCCCAATTTTTCCCTAAACTCATATATCCAATGACCAACTCAACACTTGTCAAAGTGGTAGCTCAGGTTCTGGATGTCCAAAACTAAACTCC